CATCAGAGACAAGATTTGTTCCCAACATTTGGAGAACAGTGTCGTGAGTGTGCAAGTGTGTGTCATTGAAAAGGGTCTGCCTTCAGTTCTGAATATATACACAGGGCTGTGGGCGCTTTACTAACGCACAGGCATCCTTGACAATTCCCTGAACGGCTTTCTTGGCAGAATTTAACGGATCCTAGACGTTAGACCTAAACAGTTTTTTGGCAGGATTCAATGACGTAAAATACAGCCATTAAGGATCCTTCCTTGAGTTTGAGAATTAGCTGATCTGTTGGCACGCCTCTGCTTCTTTCTTTTTCAGGTCCTTCCTTATACTTTACCCTTCCCACTTTATTGAGACATCCAATCTACTTTTGTTTGTTTTAGCTGTGTTCAGTTCATCCTTTGTGGATGCTTTAGGTGAGAACCTACACCCATTATGGTTTTGCTTATTCCGAGCTAATGAATCAGTTTCTTAATGAAATTGTTGCTGAGTGCGCCTCCCTTCTTTGTTATGCTCTCAGCGAGCCAAGCGCACCGCAATGTGTGCTGCTGCACTTTGAGTGTGTGTTTATGCAGAGAGAGGTGAAGGAGGAGTGTGATGCCCTCCCGAGATAAATGCTCAAGGCGTTTGGTCAGATATGATTATGAGAAAGGTGAGACGCAAAGTAATTTGTAACGCAGATGTATCAGTGACACCAGATAGCGCCTATTTTTATCTACTGTCAAACCGACGGCGACCTATGACGGTGCAGTTTATTGGGTTGTCAGCGCGTAGCGTTTAACCAGTGAATCCAAGCAAAAGTGTTAAAGCATTAGAGATGGTTTCAGATGTGATGGCTTTCATTAAAAATATTATTAATACAAAGTCTCATTAATGGAAAAACTGCAAGTTGTAACAAGATGACACTATCAGCAATGATTAACAACCTCGCTGCTAAATCTAAACCACATTGAGTGTCGCCAAGAAAAATAGCTTTCTTCTTATTATGCTTGTCAGTAGGTTGGACGCTTGTCCCTACACATGAGGTTTTTTTTTTTCTGCTAGAAGGTAAGAAACACTTAGATAAAGATAATACTTTTTAGAAATTGTATGCTGTTTTACTACTTTTCATTTTAGCAAAAACTTTGCAGCACTTTGCGATTAGGTAGCGGAGAGGCTGTTTATCTGTTTTCTTCAGAGCAAAGTTGCAACTCATCCCAAAGTCGTCTCGTAACTGAGCTACGCTCGGCTTTCCTGGCGATTCAGCAGAAGCGAACACAAAGAGATACACTAATGCATCCCTGAGTTAGTGCCATCTGCATTAGTAGAAGAAAAATGCAGCTTCAAAATCTCGTGTAAAGGAATCTGTTTGGATATCATATGGTGTCATTTGGTGCGCTTGAAGGAGAAGAGGAGGTGAGAACCAACCAAGAAGAAAGAATCCCCCCTATTTTTACATGACAGTAATTAGTTTGGGGTGCAATCACATCTTCTGCCCTCAACCTTTTCCCCATAAAGAGATCACATTCAAATGGCTATATTCTTTTCAAGTGCGACCTTGCCCGTTTCAATATTAGGATAACCCGAGCCATTCTGAATACATTCACACGCGCAGATAAGGCCTCGCTGGCATTTATGAAGCTGTACCTTACTGAAAAGAGGGTTTTCTTTCTGTATGTTCGGCTGGCAAGTGCTATAGTAAAAGGGTGACGAGGTTGAGAAACAGTGCGCCGCAAATCCTTCATTTTCTCGAGCCTTTCATGGTATCAAGCCTTTGCTAAAGGCCCACACCACAACCCTTGTTACACTCTGCTTCATGCTAATGTTCGCCATCAATAGGGAGACATCTATTTATGCGGGGATGACAGAGGGAGAGAGGGAGAAAGACAGAAACAGAGAGAGATAATGGATGAACAAAGACCAGAAAGAGACAAAAGAACACATGAAACAGAGGGAGAGAGTGAGTGAGAGAGAGAGAGAGAGAGAGTAAAAGAGATGACAGAAAAGAGGTAAAATTATAATTCCCCTCCCCCTTCCTTGTGAAGTGACAGCTACAGTGATGTATAACCCTGGCAGTGGAAAGTTAATTAGATAGGCTGGGTTACTGAGAGATGAAGGACTGAGAGGCTGAGGAGGAGAGGAGGGAGGAGGAGGAGGAGGAGGAGGATGAGAAGAAGATGTAGAAAAAGAAAGTTACACAAAAAAACAAGAGGAGAAGAGAAAGGAGGAGTAGGTCACGGGGAAGGTGAGGAATGAGACAAGTGAGGAGAGGAGAAGAAAGGTAATAATTCACCTAGAGAAAATGAGAGACACGGTAAGGACTAAAGTGTCAGAGGGGAAGTTTAAATAAGAGGCAAAGGGCCTTGTTAAAGGATTTTTTTCCCCCTTTAACAGTTTCAATAAACATTTCCAATTCAAGTGTAAAATTAGAAACCATATAAATATGATGACACTGTAAAGAAGAAAACACATGTATGCCATTAGAAAAGTCTCAGTCAGTTACTCTCTCACACTGGCTCCGCTTTTGGTTCAAGGACACACTTTAACATGTCCTGTGCACTGCTGAGCCGGTGATTGGATGTCTGTCCTCCGTCAGGGAAGTGCATGACTTAGACCAAAAGAACAAGATAAAAACAAATGCCATCGAAGCTGCAGACTCAGGCAACTATCTGTCCTCAAAAATGATTCATTGATTCAGTACCCACTCACTGGAACCGAGACTATCCTTGAGATTTTGGTACTTCTGGACTCTATGTAACCTCTAACAGAACTCTTTGTAATCTTGCTTGTCACATAGCCTGTGGGTGTCGGCGAGGGGAGGGGGGAGTCTTCAAATACATAATTTGTGCCTTCACTTCAAATCCGTCCATCTGTCCAGACTGTAAACAATTTGTCTGCTGCAGGTTTTCAGGGTTAGATGGAGGTCACTAGTTTATCCCAGATGGACACATATGGACAGTCACTTCCCAACAACTTGCATGTAAGATTCAAAATAATAAACCATCCTCTCAGGTTATATTACTTGTCATTGCCATTAATAGTCTTTAATCGGAGGCAAGTATTTCTGTGGCCGTTCCAGGTGGCTAATTTCTATGTTTTCTAAGTCAACCCAATGTATGCCGTTCATATGTTGTTCTGTGCAACTCCTCACTTCTCCAAATCTCTACATTGAAAGGGGGGAAAGCGCAAACTTACTGCAATCTATATAGTCACAACACCCACACTAATAGGAACTATGCCAGGGTGAAATAAACTGTAACTATCCTTTATCCTTATTTTCTCTGCAGGGACAAGTTTTCCAGTTAGCTGGATGTGTAATAATGTGCAATAAAATCGTGTAATCGATACAAAAAAACCCCCAGTACAGGCGGTGTAGCAGACACACTCCTACCACTGTGCAGTTATAAAGTTGACGACTTTTTGTTTTTCATGCTTCATTAAACATTAGTTGAAATTCAGCACAATGAAACAGACCTACACAGGAAGACTTTTATCAGTCTAGTCGTCACTGTTCACGCAAACACGCGACAGTGTCAACATGCAACAGATGTTCATTAATTTACTTTTATTGTGTCGTTTTTTAGCATGGGGCTGTAAGGTGGATGCAAACTCCACGCAGAAAGATCCCGGTGCCCCCACCGGGATGCGAACCGGCAACCTTCTTGCTGCGAGACAACAGTGCTAACCACTGCGTCACCCTGCAGCCCGTCCAAAAACATCATGAGGTTAATTGGTGATTCTAAATTGTCTGTGAATGTGAGTGTGCTTGGTTGTCTGTCTCTAAGTGTAGCCCTGTGATAGACTGGTGACCTGTCCAGGGTGTCCCCTGCCTTCACCCTGAGTCAGCTGGGATAGACTCCAGCCCCCCGCGACCCTGGTGAGGATTAAGCGGTGTATAGATAATGGATGGATTTTTTAGCATGAGTGGCACAAAATGCACCGCGCCGCCATATTCTCTCCACATCAGCCATAGCTCCAGTTCGGTATATTGCACATATTAAATACTTAGAAAGTCCATCCTCTATTGTATTTTCAAAAGTCCACCTTAGTATTTTATCACCATATGCCAGAGCTGTCCCAAGATTTCGGTGACCTCTGTGTGCTTAATTTAAAGTCAGACTTTCTATTATCTGGTCATGTGGATGAAGTTGTGTACTTTTCACAAGAGCGGAAATGAGACGGAAGAAGAGAGGAAATGAGAAACAGAGTGGAGCATGCAACTTTTAATGTCAGTGTCTGTGATGTGGATGTGTGTGTGTTTGTTGTTGGGATGCCAGTGCACATTGCGCTGTGTAGAAGAACGTGAGAGTGTGTGTATTTGTGATAGAGTGGAGTTTGTGAGTGTGACTGACAATGACAGTGAGTGCAACGAGAGGGGGGTCATTCTTCTGTTAATTACTAAGTTAATGACACACTATGCTCCAGCGGACATGCAATATGGCAGGCTGACACACACACACACACTCACACTCACTCTTACTTACACACATAGGGATAATAGCTAAGTCTGCTTCGGTGCTCACGCAACGTGGCAGGCTGCTATGCAAAGAGTTTGACAGTGAGATAGCAGGCTAACAATGACACACACATACAAACACACGCACGGCAGCAACAACTGACAGGGAACCTCATCAAACCAGCTTTAATGAAGTCACTTCTCCCAAATAGAAGAGGGGAAGAAAGGAGTGATGAGAAGAGGAGGGGAGAAAAGGAGGACAAGGTCGCCTGGATTGATGACGCTCATTAGCCTAATAAGGTACTTTAATGAAGTGGGCCCAACACTATAGAAAGAGCCACAGAGTCTAAAGACCACACACACACCAACACAAACATCCAACTAGTGTTGCTAGTTTGTGTTGTCCTTTGTATTTACACATGAGTACAGCTATTTTTGTCAGCTTCTCGCTTCCATTTTTTCTCCCCCCACATTCACCCAACAGACTAAAACACAACAATCGATGAATTCACACAGACAGTCCCACATATAAACACACACCCAAAAATAGCACTAACAGTAAGCACACACACTCACCTCTCCCTCTGAGGACTGCAAGAGAAGGTCTTTCCTACAGGATGCTGTGAAGTCACCCACTCCAGCGTTGACCTCCACCCCTCTGGGGGCCTCCAGGGTCAGGGTCCGAGTCGGAGACTCCAGCCTGAGAACCATAAACACACTCTGGTCATGCTGAAAGCAGTGGAAACAGAAGAAACACACACCTGTACAGACATGCGGTTTGAACAAAGAAAAGGTGGTTTAAGTCAGACCAACAGATTAATACTGCAGGTCGATAATAAGTCGAGTGCAATCAAGGTTTTTAAGGTTTTAAAGGTTTTATCCTCGAGAAGCTCAGTCAAAGGCAACGGCAAACTACAGCTGCATTGCTAAAGCAACAGCTTACAATACTCTTGAGTTAAGGAAATCATTGAAATGCATGCTGTTTCTGGAATTCACAACTTGAAGTCGAAGAGTGAACTGGTACGTGTTGTTTTTTTCATATAACATTGCACTTTTTAAACCATTGCATTGGTTTCAGATAAGAACATTTGTAAAACCTATTGTATATTGTAATTACTGTTATTAATTAATGTCTGGAGTAATCACACCTCATGAATTGATTAACACATATTTGGACAATGGAAATTTTTTGGATGGAAAGTCAGTAAGACATCATCAATTGAATTGTTAGGTCTGCTCAATGATAAAAAACAAAACAAAACAAACGAAAACAAAACAAAACAAAATAAAACTTGTGACAGAATTCTATGTGATGGGGATCAATACACGGAACTTTTTACACAGAAATCTGATAATGTGTCATCAATAGATCACAAACATTAATCGAAACCATTTTTTTTTTTTAAATGATCCAGTCATAAAGTCGAACAAAAATGGGTATCAGGTATCGCAAATTGAGTACTGTAATCCAGTGCTGCAAGTAGCATGGGTCCATTCTGCACTTATTGCCCCAATACGAGCTGGTGAGTTCTGTCTGTCCAACAATTTGGTCAGTACTGTTGGAACTGAATTCAAGAGGCTGGGGAGGAATAGCAGGTTCACTCAGCTTTTGAGTATCACATAGAACAAGTGTTTTAGAATTGAGAAAGAACTGAATTGTACCTTAAGTGATGTTTAATACATCTTGATACGATATCAGAGATGTACACACTGTACCTTACCTCACAGAATGGGTTGAAGTACAGTAACCCACTCATTTCAAGATTTTTTTCCAAGTCATTTTGCTTTTATTGTGTTGTCTTTGAGGAAACTTGTATGAAATATAAAGATTGCACAGTCGTTACACCACACTGCTCACGGTGTAGTGTGCTCTGGTCATGATTGGCATCCCTCCCCTTGAAGCGCAAAGGGTCAGTAGCTAAGTCTGTGACTCAAAGTTGAGAACGCTACGAGATGATTAAACAGTTTGGTGGTGTTAGATAAGCACAATGCTTCGCTCAAGGGCACGTTGGCAAGTGAAATTAAACATAGAACGCTTTCAGCAAAGCAGACAGAACTGCTATTTATGAAGTGGTAGTATGACTAATTAAACAGAACGCTCACAACAAAGACCAAATTGGGGAAACGCTTTGCTATAAGGGCACTTTTCCAGACATGCTTTGCCCAAGGGCCCTCCAGAAGGCTGGTTTCAACAAACCCTGCTGAGGGAAAGGCTAGATTAACTGATGGGCATCCTGTTTGTGGCAAAACAAACGAAAAAAAAGAGACCTAAAGAAGAATCAGTGTCTTGGTGTTTGTGTCAAGCTTCCTCTGCTAATGTCCTTCACTAAACTACTGTCTCCAGAATGAAGGAAAGTGTATAAACTCCTCATCAGTACTTTGGTGAGGAATAATTCCACATTTAAGGATTTCAATCTGAAGAACTAATCTATTAGCAGATAGAAAAAAGCTCCCTTGGCACTGCGTTCCCATGTTTGGTTGCACCCAAGTAATGAACATTTAGACGATCTTCCTGCTTCAACATCGCCCCTTTCCTATTATTAGGTTCATTTTGAGGCTGTTTCTGCTTTATGAGGTGGTTGTTTTATTCTACTGCAAAAATGGTTCACCTTGACAAGCAATTCAGTTGAATGTGACTTCCTAAAATGCATCTTTATGGATGAAATAAAACATCCCCCAATAAATGAATTTCATTAATTTCAAATGCAGATTCGTTGGATTTTTGGACATTTTCTTCACTAAGTGAGGATAGACGGACGTAAAGCAGATCACTCGCATCAAGATAATGTCACTTGATTTAAGAAAATGCTCCAAGCACGCTGGTTTGCATTAGAATTAAGTCATTTCACCTCAATTTGCTGCTCTTATTTTAGAGAAAGAGGGAGATTATGAGTGCCATTCAGACTAAATGACTAACAGTGTGCTGTGCGTTGAAACGAAAAGCTGTACTGACTGAAAATGTCATTGTTTCACAATGCGTCCTTTGTGGTTGTGGCCTTTACTGGCATGTAAAACATCTCCAAAATTGGCTCTCATATACGTGTTTTTTTTTTTTTATGTGACAGTTTATTAAAAACTTCACAAATGAAACCGTTTCTTCTGTCAGCAGTCTGTCGCAGCTCCTTCTCACAGCTAACTGAGGTATTTATTCTGGGTTGAAGGTAAAGGTATTGGAGGTGTGGAGGAGTCGTGAGGTGGATTAAAGCTGATGGAAGGTTTGCTGCTGTGCAGTGCTGAGCATCCAAGTGATATAATAAGTGTTGGAAGCAGACACTTCACATTGGGTCTGACTTATTGATCTGTAAAAAAACAGAGTGTATGCTGCTGCAGTCAGAGGTTAAGAAAAGGAGAATCAAAGGGAGAGACAGGAAGGTGATCGACAGACAGACAGAAGGTGATGTGGATTTGCATGTGCAATGGAGAGAGAGATAGAGATAGATACATAGAGAGAGAGAGAGAAAGAGGGAGAAAAGAAAGCCTGCTGGCCTCGTCAACACCAGTGATGTGCGGATCTTTGGCTCGTCTGACAGCTGAGGCAATTACAGCGATGCTGCTGCACGCTGAAACCAGCTCTGATGGACAAGCACACACATACATACTGACTATCTATCCCTCTATGTCTCTCTTCCCTCTCTCTCTCCTTCTCTGCATCACACTCCCTGTTAGCTTTCACCTCTGTTTTAACTCGCTTGTCCATTTTCTGCACAACACGCCACCTATTACTTTCTCGAGTTTTCCCTCGTTTAAAACTGCCCATATAGAGACAGAGTGTATGTACAAAATCCCTGCATGTCAGCTTCTCAGTTACACATTTTGACCACCGTAAACTTTTTTTTTTTTTTTAAGCTGACTAAGCTTTTGACACTAAAGGAAAAAATGTAATCCAAGCAGAGAAAAAGAAGTGGAGGGGGAGTGGAAAATGCTGCAAAATGTATGATAATGTGTTCAAATCTTGAACAAGAACCACGTCTGTCACTGTCAGTACCTGGCGATGAAACAAGCCTGAAATAAAAAAAACACTCCATGATGCATTATTATGAGTACGACCAGGATGGATGGGTTTCATAATAAAATTGGCATGAACATCGATTACAAGCTGAAAAATTGGGTTTGAGGTTTCATACAAGATTCAACTTGATTAACCTTGGATAATTTATGTAACAGAGGATAGTCTGGAGGCCGGTTATTCCTTGAACGATGATGTCCTTAATTATGAACGTGTCTTGTGTTTGTGCATTTGAGCTATCAGCATTCTCGACCTCGGAAACACTTCTTAAGTGTTGAATTTGAGGAATATAATGCCTTAAGCCTTGGACAAAGAATGGATGGTCATGACGGTGTTTTTTTCTTTTTCTTTTTTCTGGAATATGCCTCAGCTCTTTGTCAGTCTCATAATTCAGGAATCAGTAATGATGAAAAGCTTGTAATAGAAATCCGTATTAGCCTTAAAGCAGTTTTTTAAAATAAATGATAGCAGCAGGATTCATAGCATTGCCACTGATAATACGACTGACCTTTCAAGAAGTTTAGCCACAGCACTGGAGATGCAGTGCTGGTCCTGATCACTATGTTGGTGCAGACTGAAACATCTAAACTGTTGAATACATTTCCATGAGGTTTGATGCAGATACTCATGGTCCCCTGTGGATGAACTGCAGAGAGTCTGGTCATCTCCTCAAGCTTCATCATGAATTTTGTTATTGAGTTAAAGTTCTCTCTCTTATGATGATTTGAACTTTGGTGGTCCACTAATATTTTCCTGTAGCACCATCAAGAGTTACATCAAAGCAAAAAAGTCATTTAGCACGACTAACTCTCCCTTCATCTATACTTTATGAGTAGCTAATGGTAGCTAATTAGCAATTTGGCAGAGGTTCGTGAAGAACATACCTGCAAAACCTTTGAAAAACGTTGACAAAAATTACTTCGAATGAACTAAAACTGCAAATTGGAGTGTAGGTAGTATCTTTTTAACCCTGATATTTCTGAATATGTTCTAGAAATTCGAAACAGCTTGCTGCAAGGTGGCACAGTTGGTTAGCACTGTTGCCTCGCAGCAAGAAGGTCGCCGGAATCTTTCTGCGTGGAGTTTGCATGTTCTCCCCGTGAGGCATAGGTTCTCTCCGGGTTCTCCAGCTTCTTCCCACACAGTCCAAGAACATGTTGAGGTTAATTGGTGATTCTAAATTGTCCGTAGGTGTGAATGTGAGTGTGCTTGGTTGTCTGTCTCTAAGTGTAGCCCTGTGATAGACTGGTGACCTGTCCAGGGTGTCCCCTGCCTTCACCCTAAGTCAGCTGGGATAGACTCCAGCTCCCCATGACCCTAATGAGGATTAAGCGGTGTATAGATAATGGATGGATGGAATTCTAAACAGCAACTTCCAGAAATGAAGCGCGACAACACGAGTACAAGGCGGCCTCTTCAGTGAACTACTAAGCTCTGCAACCCTCTAAAACGGTGGCAGGTTGACTTTTAACAACACATATGGCATCGTGCGGGTACAGAGATCTTTGAGGATGGGAGGGTTCATTTAGATATTTTTAAAATAACTGTTCCACTATCTTTCTTGTCCACAGGCACACATTCTCAGTCTGAAGCCCATCGTCTGAATCACTCAGTGACACACCTATATAAACATATGCATACACACAGGCCCATAAAGTTTCTGGTCAGGCCTCTGCATGGTTGCTTTTTTTCCC